CACAGGTCAGCTGGGAGAGAGAAGGGAGAGGTAGGCTTGGTCTCCTGGCAGTGGGAACACCTCCTGTTTATTGAAGGAAGTCTAACAAAGCGGCAGTGTCTTAGCCCCAGCACTTGCCCAAGGAATCATAGGCCAAAAGCTGCTTTTTTTTTTTAATCCCAGCTGTCTGGGTGGTGAAAAGGAGGATGGAGGCCCAAAGCCCTTTGGGCCTAGAAAAGGAGTAGCAGAGATGGCCCAGCACTTGCCCCCTCCAGGGCCAGGTCACCAGTAAACTAATTTGATGGAGGGGGAAACCACAGCATCTAAGGAGAACTGATTCACCCAAGGATTCCCCTTGGATACAACCACGGAGCTGTGGGAGAAAATACAGATTAAGTCCCTAATTAGAAAGAAGAAGAAATCCAGGCCTATAGAGGCAAAGTCATACTGAGAATAAGGACGAAGCTGGGATTCTAACTCAGGTCATGTGACATGAATTCAGGACTTCCCTAATCACACTAGGATGGATCTGATTCAATTCCCCTGTTCCTCTAGAAGGTCTGAGACACTCTCTCTGGACCTCAGACCAGCCACCAGACCTTAGCCTTCTGGGAAGGCTCTTGGGAGTGTCCCCTGCCACATTCCAGGCTCCTGTCTGCTCTAGGCTCATTGTCCAGGCTGGAGGCGTTGAAGCTGACGCAAAGCCCTGGGGATTTGTTCAGCTGATGTGACATCCAGCTCCAGTTGGACCTCTTTATTTTCCCTTCCCTTTGTGGAGAACGATGCCCCAAACCAGAACAACTTGGCCAATTCTTTCCTCCCCCAACCCTCCTCTAGCTCCTGTCTGGAGAACAAATTGGATAGGAATTCCCTCATTTGAACTTCTTCCCCTTGCCCCCAGGACATGCCAGACTGGTCTCAGACTGGCTCAGATCAAGACTGGTCCTTTAAAGGGAAAGAAATCCTGAGGCCATGTTCCAGCACCCTGAAAGGAACCAATCACCCCCAGTCCTCTGCCTGGGGAGCCTTAGAAGATGTCAGATTTCAGGACTTTAGAACCCAGTGATAGGAAGGAACCTTAGAACATAGAATACTGTGGCTAGAAAGAATCTCAGCAGACAGAATGTTAGAGTTGGAAGGGACCTTTGGACATAGTATATACATAGGTATAAGGGCTAAGAAAACCTGCCTCTAGCAATAAGAGCGGCCCAGAGTGACAGCCTGTGGGTGAAAGGAGGAAGGAAGGTTTAAAAAATAAAAAGCCCTGAAGCTGTCTAGCTGGTTAGCTTCAGTGAAGTAGGTAAACATGGCAGATCCCAGAAGTCAACAAAACCTTCTGGCTCCTGAACCACTTTAGCTACTGGCCTGGAGGTTCCCCAGTGCTCCCATCAAGAACTCAGCTCCCAGAGCTCCACCAAATGGGCAATCACACGATGATACAATGGGAAGTAGGACAGGTGGCTCTGGATTTAAAAGGCTTGGATGCCCATGCTGGCTCTGGTAATTACTACCTGTGTGACCTTGGCCAAGTCACTTAACATCTACAGACCTCAGTTTCCTCATCTATTAAAGGAGGGGTTTGAAGAAGGCGACTTCTACAACTCCTTCCAGCTTTTAATCTATGCTCCTATGACCCTGAACAAGTCCCATCCTTGCTTTGGGCCTCTGTTTCTCTTTCTGTAAAACGACGTCGTTCAATTTAAAAACAAACACACAAGCCAAGGGTGGGGAAAGAGAAGGAATCGAACCTGATGGTCTGTAAAATCTCTTCCAGCTTTGTTCTAATGTTCTAAAGTTCCTTCCAGATATGACAGTCTATGTTCTAAGGTTCCTTCTAGCTCTGGCATTCCAGTGATCAAGCACTAAATATTTTTTAAGTACCAATTGTGTACCAGGCACTATGCTAGGCACTGTTCTAAGGTCCTTTCTAATTCAATTTTTAAGAAACCATTAAGTGCCCAAAACTGTGTTGGACCCTCTTCCAAGTGCCCTTTTAGTTATAAGTAGGCTTCTAAGGTCGTTTGAGCTATAATATACTCCTTTTGAATTCTGAAGGCCTTTCCCATTCAATTCAACAAACATTTATTCAACACCTCCTATGTGCAAGCTGTGCTAGGTGATGGAGATACACAGACCAAAAAAAAAAAAAAAAAAAGAAAAAAGGTAGGGGGAAGAGTCTACCCTCGAGGAATTTACATTCTACTGGGGTGGAAGCAATGGATGAGTAAATCTCCAGCTATCTTGAGAAGGGAACAAACTGTAATAAGTGGGAGGAGCAGAGGAAGTTTTACATGGAAAGTAGGTACCTGAACCGGCCCCTGAAGGCCAAGAAGGGTTCTCTGAAGCAGAGAGGAGATCATGCATTCCAGGCAGGAAGAGGGAAAAGCTTGCTCCAATGTATGCACACCCAGCCCAGCGATGGAGTTCGGAGTTCAGAGTTCAGAGAGCAGCCTGTAGCCCAGCTTGTGAAGGGCAGCAATGTGAGACAAGGCTGAGGAAGGTCATAGGCTCACTGTATCCTGCTGCCTGGGAAGGGAGGGGAGAGGCAGACTATGGGAAGCTTTTGATTCCTACCCAAGTGCCTACATTATCCCAGAGACAGTGGGGGTCATGGGATCAAAGATTTCCAGCTGGAAGGAGCTTCAGAAGTGGCTAGTTCAACTGTATGAGGAAACTGAGGCCCAGGGAAGTGTGGTGACTGGGTTACATCGGTAATGAGCACATAAAGCAGGATGTGGGACCAGGTCCTGAGACCCTGTTCTTTTTACCGTACCTGTTGCTTCCTGGAGAGAATCAAAAGGGAAGGGTCTTGGAACAGGAAAGTGCTGAGACCCCCTGTGATAGTCTATATTCTTAGGTTGATTATGGCTTTCAATATTTTATTTTCTAACTTCCCTGTAAGCCATGATTCAGATTCTAGTCTATGACTCTGAAATAGAGTATGTATGGGAGAACGGCAGTGGGGTGATGGTAGTCTTATGAAGATAGGTCATCCGGAGATGGGATGGATAATAGGATCTTAGGGTCATGGATTTAGAACTAGGAAGGATCATTTTCTTTTGTTGTTCTTTAGTCATTTTCAGTCGAGCCTGACTCTCCATGACCCCATTTGAGGTTTTCTTGGCAGAGATATGGGAATGGCTTGCCATTTCTTTCTCCAGCTCATTTTACAGATGAGGAAACTGAGGCAAACAGGATGAAGTGACTTGGCCAGGCTCACACAGCTAGTTAAGTGTCTGAGGCTCAATGTGAATTCAAGAAGAGGAGTGCTCCTGACTCCTGGTCCACTCGATCCTCTCCATCACCTGGCTGCTCGGAAAGGGCCTTGGGGGTCATCAAGTCTAACCCCCTCATTTTCCAGAAGGAAAAGACTTGCACAAGACACCGCAGAGTAAAAATAGTAACTTCCCATTTCTATGGACCCCTGCAGTTTACAGCTTTGCCTGCAGCCCTAAGGCAAAGCAGGGAGTACGAGTACCTTCTGTCTGCTTTTTACATAGATGGAAACTGAGGTTCAGAGAGCAGAGATTTGTCCAAAGATCAGGGCTGGGGATTGGGACTCCAAGTTCTGGCTCTTTCCAGACCACCACACCCAAGGGTACTCCTTCCACCCTCCACTGCCTCAGCTTTCCAGCCTGCACAGCTTGGCGTTTGGGAGCTGCAGCCTCAACCAGGCCGATGATCCGCCCCCCCCCCCCGCCCGCCCCGGGGCCTCTCCTGTTCCCTTTTAACTAGCCTTTAACGCAGCCTCTTGGCAGCCACTCGACAACTCCAGCAGCAGGTACTCGAGCTCAAGGACCTGGCCTCCTCCCCTCTCTCCCTCCTCTCTCGAACGCCCTGGCTCCCAGACCCAAGGCTCCGACAAACAGGAGGTGTGTAGGGTGCTAAAGCCCGACAGACTCCAGCTTCTCTCCCGCCGGGCGGGGCGTGATGGGGCGGGGCTGTCTGGTGGGGGTCCGGCCCCGGAGGTTGAGATATCCCGAAATCGGATCTTCCAGCATCGTCCTCGGATCCGGGATGGGGCGGGTCCAATCCAACGGCACAACTCCCCCGCCTCCCTCCCGTCCCCCACCTCGAGACAGCCAAGGCGGATCCCTGCGGGTCTGGGGAGATGGGCGAGGAGAAGGGGAGAGGGAGGCAAGGTTGAGGTTGGCCTAAGAAATGGGCCTAGACTTGGGGGTGCGGTGTGCGTAGGGAGGAGCTCCCATCTCCTTCAACTCCTCGACCGTGACCAACGAGGTGGAGGTCCTTGGCCAGGACTGAGGAGAATTGGGTTCTAGCAACAGCTCCCTTTCCGCACCCTGGGCCATGGTTTCCCCATTTGTAAAAAGGAGTTCGGCTAGATCGTTTCTAGGATCCTTTTCAGTTGTGGACATTCAGTTTTTTAAAGTCCTTTCCAGCTCTAACATTCTACGGTTATGGGATCTCTAAGCGCTCTTCCATCTGACATCCAACTATTCTACTAGGATGCTTTTCATCTCTCTGGAGGGCGGAAACAAAGGGTCAGTGGCTCAGGCCAGGGTAGCCCTCTCTGGTTGGTGCACCCCCGGATCATTCCTCACCCTCCACCCCCGAGATCTTGGGAGAAGGCCTGGTCTTGGGAGATAATGTGGTGCCGCAGTCTCGGATTAACTCCAATTAATAGGGCGCCCCCACCAAGCCCACCTCAGTTCATCTCTGGCTCACCGCCCCCACCGGTTCTCTGTCCTCGCAAGGCTCTTTCTGGGGGTCCTACCGTGAATTTGGGGATGGGGCAGAAGTCTTGAGCCACTTCTCAATTCCTGCCCCCACTTTATGTCCGTGCAGGATACTCCTGGGCTTAGGTTGGGGGGTAGGAGCTCGGGGTGGGGAGGGGGGAGAATCCAGTGGCGGCGCTACTCGGAGTATTACGGCGGCGGCGGCCGGGCTGGGCGGCTTCCTGCGGCCGCGGTGAATGAATCCGACTGCGCTGCTGCCGCCGCCTCCCGTATATAAGCCGCCGCAAGTCCGGTCGCCCTCCCAGTACCAGTTCGGGAGCCGCTGTTTCTTTCCTTCGTTTTCTCCCTGCGTCCTCGGTCCTTGCCGGTCCGGGACATCCCTCTCCCTCTGAGCAGGTAGGCAGGTGTCGGTTCCACAGGGGTCTGGGGGATCCCCATCTTCCTGTGCTCTGCACCCACAGTCTTCCCTCTGCTCTATTCGGGAGGCCAGAAGCAGGTGCGATAGGACAGCTGGATCCCCCATCTTCCGGGACCAGAAAGAGGGAGGGAGCTACAGGTGGAAACTTACCCTGGGTGGGGGGAGGGGGGATAGTGTGTAAGAAGGACAGGGCCTGGGCTCTCCCCGGCTCCTTTGCTGGCTCCTCCCAGCCCTTCTCCCCGTAGTGAGCCTGGGTTATAGACCCAGAGGAGTGCTTTGAGATCCCGGCAAGTACCATGCAGGGAGCAGGGGCACTATGCCCTGCAAAGGTCTTTCCCCGGTCCTTTGTCGCAGAGATGGACCCCAGGGGCCCTCAAGCTTCATCCCTTGGGATGTGTGCTTATAGACCTGAAGGAGTGCTTTGAGATCCCAACTCAGCAGGGAGCCCAGAGTAGCAGCTATGCTGTCTCTATTACCTGGGTACCTCGGGATGTAAATGTATAGCACTAAAGGAGTGCTTGGAGATCCTAGCACAGAAGGGTGCCCCGAGCTTGAAGGGCAAACCCAAATGGTCCTTAGGACCCGTCCAACCCAGATCCAGGATGTAATGGGCCCTCAGGTCCTTTCCACGGGGTTTTGAGCTTATAGCATTAAAGGTGTGCATTGAGATCCCAACCTAGGAGAGGGACAGAGCAGGGATATCGTTCTCCTTCCCTGGGTATAGACTGTTTAGGGCCAAAGAACTTTAAGGATGTGAACTCAATATTTTGAGATCCCGGAACAGCCACAGTGTGTCCCAAGCCCTGCCCTATCCTCTGGCCACAGAGTGGAGTACCCCATAAGCCTCTGAATTTCTTTCCCATCGATGTGAGCACACAGTGCCTGGAAAATCCCTGGTTTAGCAGGGGGAGGAACTTCTCTCTTCTGAGGAAGCAGTCTTCTGGACTTGTCAAACCTGGAAGATAGACCTGGAGTCCAGGGCCATGATTTCTTTATCTTCTTATCTCTTCCTCCTCCCATCAGTATCCCCGAACCCTTGGGATGCCTGAGGATGCCCAAAGTCAAGTGTTTTTCCTGCTCTGTGTGTGTGTGTGTGTGTGTGTGTGTGTGTGTGTGGAGGGGAGACATTCTCTTGTGGTCTGGGAAATATTATACCAAGGCAGGAAATGAACCCTTGGGAATGGATGCCAGGTGAGAAGGCAGGAGAAGAGAGATCTTCTAGTGGCCATGTACACAGGGAAGGAAGGGCACGGTCTGGGTGCTGCCAAGTTGCCTGACTAGTCTCTTCCTGATTCAGAAGGTAATGACGGGATCATAGATTCAGGGCTGGAAAGGACCTTCGATACCGCCCAGTTTATCTTCCCTGTTTTATAGATGAAGATGCTGAGGTTTAGAGCCATGAAGTGACTTACCCAGAGTCCCACACGTAGGAAGTATCAGAAGCAGGATTTGAACCCAGATCTGCCTGAGTCCAAGTTCAGCACACTCCCACTGTATTACTACTCTGGGTGCCCTTGATCTGTGTTCCCTGTGCAGCACCTGCTCCCATCCTGACTTCTCTGGCCTCTGTTTGTCTGGTCTTACAGCAATTTCTGGTGCTGCCACCTGCCTCCATCGCCCCCAGTGCCATCGCCATGAAGAAAACCAACATGTGGCTGTTGGATCGTCTGAGAGGATCTGGGGAGAACGGTGCCTCCCGGGGGGCAGACGGGGACCGGTCCTCTAAGGGGCCCCTCTACAGCAATGTGCTCACCCCAGATAAGATCCCCGACTTCTTCATTCCTCCAAAGCTTACCCCAGGGCCCGGGGAGGTGGAGGGAGCAGCCGCGGGTTCGGGTTCGGGCTCGGGTTCCAGCTCCCCACACTTAGGATCATCGACCTCTGAACAGAACTTGGCCTCTGGTGGCAGTGGGGCCCGAAAGGCCCAGCGAAGCCCCCGTTTGCCCGCCAAACTAGCAGCCGAGAGTAAGAACCTGTTGAAGGCAGCCAGCAGACATGTGATCCAGATTGAGAGCGCTGAGGACTGGCGGCCGGAGGAAGAGGAGGAAGCTGTGGCCACCAATGCCGATCCCCAGGCCCAAACGGCCATGTCCTTGCCCTATGTGCCCAAGGCCCAGACATCCTACGGGTTTGCTACTCTGATGGAGAGCCCCCACACTCGACGCAAGGAATCACTGTTCCACAGCGAGCACACTGGCCTGGCCCAGGCTGGATCCCCTGGCGCCCTTCGGAGAGCCGGAGCCAAGGCCAACGGCGAGGGCACCTCCCGGGCTGAGGCCCTGATGAGCCCCTACCGATACTTCAGTGGAGGTGAGAGCGACACGGGCTCGTCCGCTGAGTCGTCCCCCTTTGGGTCACCCCTGCTTTCACGCTCTGTGTCTCTGCTCAAGGTTTTTGCCCAGGATGGGCAGGCCAAGGTAAGCCAGCTGAGGCACTCTGTGGGCCGCCACAGCTCCTTGTCCACAGATGACAGCTCTGCTGACGTCAGCCCCAGCGCCCGCCGCCGTGCCCGCCGTGCTACCCCCACAGGCTCAGAGACCAGCAGTGAGGCTGCCTCAACCCCTCGGGGTGAGCACACGGTGCACCTGGGTAAACGAGGGAGCCTTCGCCTAGCGGCTGAGTATGACCCGGCCCGGGCCCGCCTCCGGGTGAGGCTGCTGGCCGCCGAGGGCCTCTATGACCGTCTCTTCGACACTCGCAGCATCAATTGCTGTGTGGGCCTCTGTCTGACTCCCGGGAAGCTACAGAAGCAGCGAAGCACCATCATCAAGAACACTTGGCACCCCATCTTCAACGAGGACTTCTTCTTTGATGGTCTGTGCCCCTCTAGTGCCCGCAAGCTGGCTCTCAAGCTCAAAGTAGTGAACAAGGGAGGCAGCCTGAAGAGGGATACCCTGCTGGGCGAGAAGGAGGTGCCCCTCACGGCCCTGCTGCCTTTCTTGTGAAGGCTCTTCCCAGCCCAGCCCCCCCAAAGCAGAGGAGGGGGTGGGGAACCCCTCTCTGACCCATTCCTGCCCTAGGTGCTCCTCTTGGTTCCTTCCACATTTCTGCCCCACCTGCCCCACCTGCCATCCAGGGAATGTGGGGAAACTCCAAACCCACAGCACTGAGAGTTGGCATGCCCAGGGTGAGGGATGCAGGGGGTCCCAGGAGGGATTGGGGGTGAGGAACAAAAATGGCCCTCACATGGGGCCCTGGCTCACACTCAGACACCTGGCTGTGCTTCAGTCCCAGGTCACTATAAGAAACTAGAGTTTTCACTAATGGGGGTGGGAAGAGGGAGGGGGCTGAGACCACAACACTGGGCAGTGGTGAGAGCCCCGGATTTGGCGTCAGGATGATCTGGCCTCAAATCCCAGCTTTGCCTCTTGCTCAGTAGGAGATCTTGAGCAAGTCCCTTCTCTCTGGCCTCGGTTCATTCCTCTGTAAAATGAAAATGTTGGACTAGATAATTTCCAAGATCTGTTCCAGGTCTAAATCCCATGACCTGGATCTTCTGGTCCAGGGGTCTTGCCTCCCTCTAGCTGGGGAAGGAGACTTGTTGATAGATGGGGAGGAGACAAGCAGGCAAGGAACAGACTGGGCTGTTCCCAGTGGGGAGAAGAGAAGGTAACCTCTCATTTTTCTGCCCTCCTCTGTAATCCTAAGACTGTACCTTCCTCCCACATTCCCTTTCTGCATAGTTCCAAACTGGCTTGATGAAGATTTACTGGAATTTGGGGAATCAAGTCAGGGAGGAAGGGGTCTGGGGAACTTCCAGGGGGCTAGGGGGCTAATGGAAGGTCCTTGGGGCCGTATAGGAAGAGTCAACCCCAAAGGGATGGGGATGAGATTCTTTCAAGGGCTGTCGAGGGCCTGGCTCCTGATTGCCCCCAGCTCTGCTTTCTCAGGAGCACCCAGCTGACTACTCCAAGTCTGGTGGATACCAGGTGGGAAGACTCCCATCTCCAGAAGCCCTTCATGGCTCTCCTCCCTGTCCTAGGGGATAATGATTAAAGGGATGACCTCTGGGAATGATCAGAAGCAAAAGTGGGGTCCTAGAGCCAAGAGAAGTCTTCGAGCTTAGTGGGACAATCTGGTCCAACTTTCTTGGTTCTACAGATGATGAAACTGCAGCTCAAAGAGAATGAGGTCCCTGCGGTCGCACAAGAAGAGAGTGTCAGGTTCAGGGCCAGAACACTGGGCTCTAGAAGGGGCTGCTCTCACTCCAGCACACTCTAGTGCTGAGCTCAGCCTGGAAAAAAAAAGATCGCAGGATTGTTTCCACCTCATCCCCTGGGGGATGGAGACAACCAGCATGTCTGCCTACTTCCACTCCAATACCCCGACTCCTGACAGTCTGCCCTCCCTCCCCTCTTTTGGCCAGAGGGGTGCTTTGTCAGTATTTAAACCCTAGGGAGCCGTTCAGTCCTGGGCACTCCTGGCCAGCCTCCTCCCCTCCTATTATTTCCTACTCTATGCTATCTGTGTCCTCTGTCCCTTGTCTCCCTGCATGAATCCTGGCTTCTGCCTGAGAGAGTGCCAAGGGGCCCCCCACTGTGCCTGGCCTCTGGGGCACATGCTTGGCTCCCCATCCCCTTGCACACAGCAGATGGCAGCCGTAGGCCTTGCTGTGCGTAGCTATTTATACTTGGAGAGTGATTGACATCTACCCATGTTTCATTCTGTGTGTGTAAATATGTTTTGGATACAGTCCGAGTGGGTACAGTGATTTTTCATGTTTTTTTAATTTTTTTTTTGTGGTTCTGTGGCCTTTAAGAAGTCTTGGCTGGTCCCTGGGGGCAGGCAGAGGGAATTCCCAGTTCAGCCAAGGACTGGAGGCAGCGTGGGATGGTTGCCAGCATAATTCAAATCCCGTTCTGGGATAGGGACCCGGCACTCCTTTTTGGCACCCCATTTGGATGGCTGGCCAAAAATCCCCAGAGCTCTCCACTGGGGCCTGAGCACAAGGTGTCCCTTCCACCCAGACTCCACGGACAGGGGTTGGGGACTAGCAAACCATTGTTCCTTACTTGGTGGGCAAGACTGGCCAATCCCTCTCTTCCCCAATTGGCCTCTGCCTCCATTTCCTGACTGGGGAGAAGCTTAAGGCAGCCAGAACCAGAAGGAATCTGACCATGGATGCTAGCCAGATCATTTTAGCAATAGGGAAACTGAGGCCACAAAGGGGCAAAGTGATTTGCCCAAGATACGCATGGTGATTCTGGCAGCGAGAAGGAGAGCCCAGGCTTCCTAACTCTTGGTCTAGGGCTCATTATTTCTGCCACCTGCTGTGTGACTGGGATTAGTAACTGATCCTAATCCTTTCAGTGACTGGAAGAAGCTCACGTGGGATGTGGGGAGGACTGAGGCCAGGGTGAAAAATCTGCACAAAGGATCTGAGCTTAGAGTCTCTAGGGGATCCACTCCTTTACTCCACTCCCCCAAAGAGAGCAGTTGGTAAAAACGGGCACTCAAAGGGTGCCTTGCCTGACCCCGGTGCTTGGAAATCAACACCTCCTCATCCGAGTGGAGACCCTGGGTCTCTCGGTTCCTTCCACCCCCTCAGCTCCCCAATGAACCTGTCTTCTGCTGGCACCTGCCAAGTGGGCAAAAAACATCTCGACCCTCTTTATCTCTTGCAGTTCTGTTTTGATGTTTTGACTTTCTTGATAACTTTTAAAGTGAACTCTATCCGCCCACCTATGAGTGTACGTGTCTGTGTGTTTATAAATGCGTTTTTAGTGCAATAAAGGTATTTCCAAAACAAGTGGGTTGCTGTGGCTGTTTCTCTGAGCCAGGAGGGAGGGATGTATTCTACCCGGGATCCTTCCTCCCTTCCCCCCCTCCATCATCCCCTTTTCTCACACTGTTCATCTTCTCAGACTCTCTGAGAATCAAAGCAGAAAGGCACATTAGTACTTAGACTGTCAGAGCTGGAAGGGCTCTTAACAGACCAACCCTTTCATTTGTTATCCAAGGAAAATGAGGGCCTGCCTGCCTGGGGTTCTGACCCTGGCTCCTAGGAAGGGCCATGGACTCCATGACTCACATGGAAGCCTGGATCTCCCGGAGCTAGGTTGGAGGATCTTCATGTGCCACACCCGAGGGTTGCCTGAAGGCTGGTCAGGCTTCTCCCCCTCCAGCCAAATTATCTAAGCTGTTAGGTCATCTCTCTACCCACTGGGATGTACTGCAGATTCTGTATGGAGGCTGATGGAGAGTGGTCAAGAAACAGGGTGGGGCCTGCATGGCCCACTCTATGCTGCTTACTAAGGGGACACAAAGGAAAAACAAAAACATTCCCTTCTCTCAAACAGCTTATGGCCTCACAGGAGCAGTGAAATATGGATAGAGCAATACATACACACCAAATGAGCGAGTACAAGGTAGTTTGGGGAGGGAGGGCACCAGCAGGCTTGGAGTGGGGTTGGGGGCCAGGGAAGGCTTCATGGAGAAGGAGGCATTTGAGCTGAATCTTCAAGGAAGGCACAGATTTCATTGAGGTGAGGTGAGGTGAGTGCTTCCCAGATCCCAAGGACACAGCTCAGAGGAAATATTGGCAAGCTGCCCCTGAGAGGCTTCTGGCCCACCAACCATCTCCTCCGTCCCCAGCCTTCCCTGGGTCACAGGGAGAAGGGTCTGCAACCCCTCCAGCCTCAGAAGATTCTGGCAACAAACACGAGAACTCTAGCTCTTAAGGCTCTGGGATTCCTCGCCCTCCCTCCTACGTCCTTCCCCTTCCTCCAGCTTCGGGCCCCTCTTGTCTAAGCCCCTCCCCATCCTCAGGAGCTGGAGTTAGAGAAAAGAATGGTCATTTGCCTGGGAAGTCTGGAGGCTTAGAGTGCCAGTGGTAGGGTGGGTCAGAGGCCAAGGTCCCACCATGTTCTGGAAAGACTGGTGAGATTTGGCTTCTACCCACTAGCCTTCCCAGCTTTCACCTTCAAAGCACGTGACTCCCTCCCTGATCCCAGATGGGAAGAATCCAGTAGGTGAAGCATCTCAGAAGTCACCGAAGGTGACCTCCTCCATCGAGGGGCAGATGGGGAAAGCCCCTTGAGGCCAATGGTGTCGGAGGCACTGACCACAGAGGGTTAAACATCACAGCAGCAGTGGAGTTCAACCCTTTCTCTTCATGGATGGGGGAAACAGACCCAGAGAGGGCCCAGATGCCTCACAATCAGTAGTAGAACAGGGGCTTAGAACCCAAGCCTTCTGGCTGCCAGTCCTGGCATTCTTTCCATCCATCACTGCTGTCTCCTGTTCTTTATTTTAATAGCTCTGAGGGCTCCAGATGATCCAGTTCCTGATCCCTTCCTCACCCACCGTCTTCCCAGACCTTGACTCTAGGGGAGATAGGTTATAAAGACTGGAAATTCACTGAGGGCAGGTTCTAACTTTCCCACCTCTGACCAGGGGCTCCCTGAGGTCAGAGGTGGTATCTCAGGGAACTGCTGTGAGTTAAGAAGCTGTGTTTCCCTTCCTGAGATTGAAAGTTCCCTGAGGGTAAGTCTGCCCCTTAGATGAGGGACTCCCCGAGGACAGGGGCCAGGGGATAGCTTCCTTCAGTGCTAGGTGTGGAATTCTCCCAGGTCCTAAATTCTGGCTTTTTTCATCGGGGAGGGAAAACCAACAGCCCCTTCTTCCTCCTTTTCCCAGGACAGAGAATACACAGGAGCCATGAACCACAGTCTTCCTATCAGGTGCCAGGATGTGTTGCTAGGCAACAGGGCAACTTCTCGCCTCTCCCCCAGACCAGCGATGATTGCATTTCCTGGTGTGTCTGTGTGTTTGACCAGGTGTGTGTCAATTCTTCCCCTGTTAATATACTCCCAGATGAGGCCAGAGACTGAAGATCTTGGGAGAGGTTGGGGAGTAGGCCAGAAACTGAGGCCCATAAGTATGATGGTCCAACAATTCAAAATGGCTGCCAACCAGCTTTTCCCTCCGCCATTTTGAGATCCTCAGGGTTTGAACTTCTGGGTTCATTCCTTTGCCTTTCGGAACATCCAGGGAACCTCAGCCCGAAAGGGGAGACAGATTTCTTTTCATGGGAGCACTCATTACAGATTTGAGAGGGAGGGAGGGGTATCTTCCACTGTGGGGAGAAAAGAGTTTTGTAAAGATGCATGTGTACCCATAGCTGGCTGGCTGGCTGGTGTGTGTGTGTGTGTGT